AATGGGGGGTGGCGCGGGGGGGAGAAACACATAGCAGGAGCATTTGCATCTGTGTGTTCGGAGTCCTTGTTAAGGGCAGGGCATTCACAGCCGGAGCCTCTCCTTGTGCTCATGAAGCGTGACTTTCACTTGGCCCTTCGTGCTCCTAACTGGGCGGGGGCTCGTGGGGGGGCTTGAGGGGGGAGGGGCCCGGTGGGGGGGGGCGAGGTATTGTTGTGATGCAGCCAAGGGAGGCGAGTCTGTAGACAGCTCCAGAAGATGTCGCCGACTGATAAACCAACCGCGCCGTGGTCCACGCGGTACGTGGGGAATATCGTGCACACGTGGACGTATCCTTGGATACAGATCTGTCATGACACCGGCCTAACCTTGCAGCGGGGGGCCTTCTACAACGCGGGGTGTGGAACGTCCCAGTAAATGACGGAACGTTGGCCCAGCGTTGGCATGTTTACTGGGGTGGGCACTCTGGTTGTCGCCGAGAAGCCTCCGTCGCCTGGGTGTTTCTGATTATGATGATGATGAGTGGATACACACCGATATATGCAAATGAATCAAGGACAAGTTCCACCGTATAGCCATGTGTGCTTTGGGTGAAGGTGGGGGTGGTGGTGATGTGGCCGGAACTTTTGGTGGGGCCAGTTTATCCGGTGGACAACCACTGTTGACTTTTGACTAACTTGTACGAATTTTATCAACACAAGAGGGCTGATGAGTGGAGTCGAGGCCTGACTGGGAATTGAACTCTTAAACGTCAGGCCCGTGATCTGAGGGCACAGGCCACAGCACCACCCCAACCTGCTTTGCTATACAGCCTCATACTTTGAAGGGCTCTCAAAAGGTAACAATGCCATTTCATACAACAACAACAAACAACACCTGCCATTCGCCACTAAAGTAACAGTGTCGTCACCACGGCGCTTGTGCCAGGCCATGTGCACTTTGAGGCCACGTAAAGTGTCAAAGGCTCGCTGGCACAGCGGGCCTCTGGAGGGGTGTGAGGGGCCTGGTGACCCCTTCACTTTCAATTAAATTACCACAAAACCACGTTTCAAATATAATTCCATACACAAACACAATTACATGCACACACTGGTATTAATTCTGACATGCGTACGCATGCATGGTCGTGGCACCATCGTACACCAGGGAGAGGGCATCGCAGCGTGACTCCTTGCCACGTAGGCAAATTGAAAAATAAGGATTAAGTTTGGAATTGGGAGACGGCTTAGAAGAACAATGAGCGGGTGACCCAGACATCAACGAGGCAAGAGGTATAATCCAACCACAAATTCCTCTGAGGACAATGTTACCACAAAGATCAACTCTTTCTTTTTGTTTATCCTGCCACGTATCGGAGTTGCACTGCTCTGCAGATGATGCCAATCATCCACCAACGTTGAGGGCTCGATCTACCAGACTGACTGATGAACCTCATCTACACCCGCCACGCTACAGGTCACAACACTTCACCTCTTTCCGCTTCCTCCCTCGCTCTGCTCCACCCCTAGGACTTCGTTGAGCTATCATTTGTGAGGTTGCTTCTGAAAAAGAGCTATGTAGCTCCGTGGGGCCTTACTTGGTAAAAAAGTGTAAAAAATTGTTTAAGAGTTTAGTTTTAAATTCCCTCCTACCATCGTCTCGTCCCCCCCCTCCCCCCCGCAAGCTCTTACAGCATTAACCTTGCTCAATTAATTTAGAAGCGTGTTACTACTTATTTATTACAACGTTACGAGTGACCTTTGTTGGTGGCCACGTGGCATTTTGCGCCTGTGGCCCTTGCGCTCGCCAACCACTATTTAAAATAAATATATAATCATCCTGGTCCCTCGCCATAGGAATGTGGAATTTCCCCCACCGCCAATGCAAATGAGCACCACCCCATTCTTTTTTTAAGCAGGGGGACACTCCCGCTTTTGTTTCCTACGTTTTTTGTTTAGTGAATGAAATTTGCTTCTGTATTCTTTCCCAGCAGAGCCTGGGTCTCCAATTGCTTAAGAAACTCGATTTCATCTAGTGTGGCTCTCACTTGGGTTTAAATATAGTTTTACGAAGGGCACAGCAGACGAGGCAGCTGCACAGGCCTGCTTTGGACATTTCTGTGACCACTCTTAGCTTAATCAGCAGGTTACCTCCCTTTAGTTCTTGGGGTTCGGTGCTATTGCTGTGAATCCTAAGCAACTTAAATGTGTCAGTCTGGCCTCGGAAGCTCAATGGTGACCCATCGCTGCACACACTGCGGACGTGTTGGAGGCATTTATTTCGGGAGGGGGGGGGGCGGTGTTACTTTGAAATAATAATCATTACTGGTATTCATGTGCTCACATTCTAGCACAAATGCTGTGTGATTGTGAATGAAGAGCAGGGTCACATGGGTTGATTTCCTCCTTGTTACAAAGTGCTTCATGTGAAAAATGCCAACTGTTTTGTGTCGTGATGTAGTGATGAGATGATGACGACTTCATTCTGATTTTGTTGTTTGTTTGGTACAGCAGTGCCTGGCCTCGTGTTCGAGATCGGTTGCTGGAAGCAGATATCACAGAACTACTGCTGAGAGCCCTACAAAGTGACCTCTTATCCACACTTGGGTGGGTCAGATCTTTGCCACCTGCCCTGCTACAGAGATATATGTCCATTACATGACAGTCAACCTGATACATCTTAACTCTAATATCTGTAATTTAGACAGATTCGGAGCAGGACATGTATACAAGCTGAGTCAACTAACACACTATGTTGTATGTAGGGTGTATGTAGGGTGTGTAGGTGTATATGTTGTATGTAGGGTGTTTAGGTGTATATGTTGTATGTAGGATGTGTAGGTGTATATGTTGTATGTAGGGTGTGTAGGTGTAGATCTTGTAAATAGGGTGTGTAGGTGTAGATGTTGTCTGTAGGGTGTGTAGGTGTATATGTTGTATGTAGGGTGTGTAGGTGTATATGTTGTATGTAGGGTGTGTAGGTGTAGATGTTGTCTGTAGGGTGTGTAGGTGTATATGTTGTATGTAGGGTGTGTAGGTGTATATGTTGTATGCAGGGTGTGTAGGTGTAGATGTTGTATGTAGGGTGTGTAGGTGTATATGTTGTATGTAGGGTGTGTAGGTGTAGATGTTGTATGTAGGGTGTGTAGATATACATGCCTACAATGCAAATGTGTTCTTGTTGGTGGGGGGGGGGGGGTAAAAAGCTTGGGGGGGGGGTCTACAATGTGTGTAAACCTGCTGGATCACCTTTTTACCTTCACATCTGGGGGAGGGGGGTGGTCCACTTTCTATAACTTTTCGATTCAGGCCTCCTGAAACGCTCTTTTATAATTTAGTTGATGGATAAACAGATACACAGAATGCCAGGCTTTTATAACAGAAAGGCAGTTTTCCTGGATTTGAACCCAAGTTCCCCGTATTGTCAGCTAAGCACTCTGACCTCTAAGCCACTGGGCCATCAAATGGATATGTCTTAAAAGCTCTGAGCGATAATGTTTTGATCTTCTGGGAGGCACGGCTAGATATTATCATTTTATGTTTTGGGCTACGTTATTTTTAGTTGGCAGATCTTGTCGTTCAGGAACCATTGAAATACAGGCATTAATACATGTGTGTGTACACTGTATATGTGAATGACTGCAGAAATATATCCACGTGCAAGAGATGAAAAACGGTGCAGTGTATTTTAGTAGATTTCTCGAACACAACTCCGTATAAAGGCAGAATCACACTGCAAAAATGGCTTTAGTGGGTACGTACAGCTGACCTCACAAAACCCACAAAAATATATTTTCAGAAAAGTTTTAAGAGAGGAAGAGAGAGAGAGAGAGAGAGATTATGAGCACCCAGGCTGCATCCGCCTTCTCTAAGACGAGCTTTGGCCAAGACACGTTTAAGCAAACAGCATTTGCCACGTACACTTGTTTGCTGTTTTAATGCGACTGCACGAGTAACGTGATCCACACCAGGAGGCCACAGAGCTCATGCATCGCTTAAACAAACCTGGAGAAAGAGAGGAGGAGGAGAGAGAAAAAGAGTCCACATATTTAGGGACACAAAATACTGTCGACGATTTTTCAAAATGGCCCAGAACCGGAGCTCGTTTACGCTGCCGATAAGTTTAATTATTGTAATCGGAGTCCACCGAGGCGCGTGGGAGAAGGCACTGTGGCGTTTAAGCGGCCGTTCTCTTCGCTTGAGGCTCGTTCGTAGCATCGACGGGCGTCTGCGCTGGTCAGACCACTTCTGCAAGTTGGCCTCTTAATGCCCTGATCCCGGGTTGCCTCACCATCACCCGTTGGTAGTGAGCGTGCGTGAGCGCGCGTGGTCGCGCGTGTGCGTGCGGTTTATTGATGCGCGCGTGTGAACATCAGGACTGGGGAGACAGAGGCGGCCGGGCATGATGCTGGCCACACCACTCTCCTCGGGCACCACACCGGCCTTAGTAGGTGCTTACTAAGAGCACTCGCCCCAGCGGTCTCTTCGGCTACATGGGACGCCTTTGTCTTTGTGTGCAAGTTTAATGCAGCGGTGGTCCAAGTTCAGATTCTAATGAACAAGAGTGGTAACTTGTATGTATCAACTTGCATGTGCCTATGTATCAAGTTGTATGTATGCATCAACTTGTATGTATGTATCAAGAGGTCAGGATGAGGCTCATTTGCAAGAGTGACCTGGGGCATCGTTTTGCCAACAACAGCAGCGTCACAACAATTGGATCTCTCCACGGCCTCAGTCTCCCAACAGAGGGCTGACCTCACCATCAAGCCGCCGTGCTGCAGGTCCAACTGGGTGCCTGAGCGCACGCCGCCTTGAGACCTCACTAAGTTTGTTCACGAGTGGAGGAGACCGTGGGGGAGAGCACGCGTGGGGCCGCTATGCTGTCTCGACACGAACCGCGCAGAGTGAGCGTGCGAGCGCGCATCATTAGCCCCGCGAGGAGGCTGCTGCTGCTGCTGTGAAGGCTGCTGCTGCTGCTGTGAAGGCTGGTGTGTGTGGGGTGAGTGCGTGCGTCCGTACCGGGCAGGTGAGTCTGCCTCTGTGCCCCGCGAGTCTTCCTCTCGAGCCTCCTCCACTGTCCTCCAGTCGTCGGCACAATGACGTGCTCGCAGCAACACTGTCGCCTGCATTGCAAACACACGAGGAGCGCAACGTGTTAACCCCTTCTCGTTCCGATGGCGTACGTGTACGTACGTGTATGTCAACAGTTTTTCTTCTGATTCCATTCCGATGACGTACATATACGTGTATGTCATCAAAACGACACAAGAAGAAAAAATAAAATAACTTCATCGGTACCGGGCATGTGGCACAGTTTGACGCCAACTATCAAAGAGTGCGATCGTGTCACTACGGTTCTCCGCGGTGAGTACAATGTCTTTAAAAACAACGGCGCTATGCCTCTCTAAATAAAATTCATGCTGAGCCGCTTGGCCTTCCGAGATTCGGAGGCGAACGGGGCACCCACCCTGCAACTTGCAGACGTCCCAGAACGGGAATATGGTTCACAGAGCTGCACTATCCAATTTATTTTAATGATCAAATCCTCTATCGATTATCGGTTCGGTTGCTTGACAAAGCAGATGACATGAAAATAGCTGCAAAAGGCTAATTTCACCCCTCTTCCTACACGTACCACATCGAGGAAGTTAATGGGCGTGGCTTGGTGACATCATCGGTGTCATCAGCTACGTCACACTGAGCGTTGCTTGTGGGGGTTTCCCACCTTCGGGATGCAGCCACCTGTTTTTTCTTAAAGGGGTCTGAGTATTGGACTACAGGAAAGTCATTGATTACAGTTCTTAGTCGATTGACTTAACCGGGCATCCAGACCAGGATCGAACACCCCTTTGTGATGATATGCACAGCCAGGAATCGAACCCTGCTCATGAAGGTTCATAGTGCAATGTGTAAACCACTTCCTCTCTCCTCTCCACAAACACACGCACACATGTGCATGCGTACACGTGCACACACAGACAAAGACCCCCGTATAGCCTTAAAAGACTGTTGGGGCAAGTGCTGTAAGCGAGCACCGATGAAGCCCGGCACGGCACACGAGGGGATAGGTGGCCAGCGTCACATCCGGCTGCCTTTGCCTCCCCAGTGGTGATGTTTACACACCAGGTACTCATTTTAGGCTGAGTAGATCTAGGGGAGACCCAGGACCGGTTCAGATAATCGTCACTGGAGTTCTCCGTGAGCGGGAATCAAACTCGGAGTCCGCCGGGTTTGTAGTGCAGCGCGCTAACCACTGCCCTACCGCTCCACACACAGACACACACACACCTTGCTTAAGTCCTCCAGGGTCAAACAACCAGAGTTTCAACCCTTGTGGGTCTCATTAGTATGCTGCAGCTGTGCTACGGTTAAATGGATTTTACGAGACAGCTGTAATATCAGCAACTCGTATTTATCGTCGGGCAATTAATCAACGTTCTAAATTTAACAAAGGTGAGAGCCCATTGAGATCCAATGTCACTTTTGCAGGGAAACCCGAGACAACCACAATTACATGGGGACAGTTACGCAATATTCCATCAAGATTTGTTTCTGTTTGGCTTGAGGAAAGCATTCACGCTCGGAATGTGAAGCACGGCAACCGGCCAGATGGAGGAATATTGCAAAGAGCAGATGCCGAGAGGTCAGGGTGTCAACCTCGCTCCGGCCGTGTGCCTTGGTAGAAGGACAGCAACAACGGACTGAGGGGTGGCTCGCATCAACGGCATCGGCCGCGATGATCTATTGACCAGAGGGGCGCCACGGTGGCTAGGAGATGTTAACGCCCATGGCCTGGTATGCAGGAGGTCGTGGGTTCGATCCCGACCCTGACGCCTCGGTGGGCTTTGCCTTGGTAGGGTGAGGATGGGTTTGTTGTATTCGTATGCGTCTGGGTGATTTGTTTACCTTTTTTGCACTCCTATCGTGTTTTTGTAATGTTTGTTGTCGTTACGTTCCTAACCACCCCTACTGGTCATCTTTGAAAAAGAGCTTTATAGCTCGTCGGATTCCTCTATTGTAATGAAATATTATGATTCTGTATATTTGAAGTTTGCATGTTCTCCCCGTGGTCGCGTGGATTTTTCTCTGGGCCCTCCGGTTGAGCTATGTTATGTGACCAGGTCGCTTCTGAAAAAGAGCGAAATAGCTCAGTGGGCCTTACCTGCTAAAATAGAAATAGTAACAAAAATAGTTAGTTAGACCTTGACCGGCACATAATGGCTTACTCTTGCAACATATTTCATGGGAATTTAATTTTCCACCTCGTGTTTACACACACACACAAAAATAACAAACTTTGGTCATTCTTTGCTGAAATTACCGGGCTGGTTGGAGGAAATGAGCTGACAGAGTTCATCGGCCGTTACGTTTTAGAAAACAAGGAACAATTGTTTGGTTCAAATGAGTATTGGCAGCGTCTATCTTCTGATGGCTCTGAGTGAATGGTTCACAGTCCACATTCTTATGACAAAGGCTGATACCTCGCCACAGGAGAATGACTGGAAGAATGCCACCACGTGGAGCATCCTCACCAGATGGCGCTTATTTTATCAATCCCAGAGGGATGACGACGAAACTAATAATAATAATGATATGATGATGCTATGGATGAGTGGCCCCACACAAAGGTATGAACTTTACGATTGGGAGCCTTTTCTGTCCAATCAGCTGAGCTCGGGTAATGAAATCACCCACACAACAAACACACAGACACACAGTGCCACGCATTCGCGCAGGCGGTGAGCACATTGCGTGCACACGCTGCTGATAAATGCTCGCTTTTAATTTTGAGAACCTAAAAACACATTCATGACGAGTCAAGATTTAGAGCGCCTTGATGTCAATGCACTTTGAGATGAAGGCCTCCCAACACTGTATCAGTTAAATTTCGATTGAAAGCTTCCGTGACTGCAGGGATTCATCTTCTTGGTTCTTTCGGTAAAGTCACGTGACTTTATCGAAAGAACCAAGAAGATGGACCGTATCAGTTGTAGGGGTGGTCGTCTGCCCATACTTCACCACGCTGGCCAGTGCGGATTGGAGAAGGTTGGGCCCAGGTGTGGTGCAGGTATCGCTCGCCACTGACGTTGGCTATGGCCGGGAATAAAAGTCACGTCTCTGAGATCACAGCGCAATGTAATCAATCATGTACATTCATTGCGACCGACATGTAAACTATGTATCCTGCGGCCGTCTGGATCGCTCTTCTGTCCGATATTAGGAAGCCACTGGAGCTATACACTTTTAAATCTAAATAAAAATTCATTTCTTTATAACTGATTTTTGTGCTTCGTTTGTTATCCTTCCCCCACACCTCTGATTATCACGGTTGGCTATGTACGGTGCAAAGGAAGTTCAACATACATATACATACAGATAACATTTGGAATTTGCCTGATGATTAATCACCGCACTTATAAGGTGAACTGTGTTACTACAGTAGTCACAACAACAGCATGAACACCGTACACACAGTACAGGAGAACTTCTCTTATCCGCGGCAGCTGAAGCGTCCACGAAATATCCTATTATCCGCCACCGTATTTCTTCCTATGACCTGCGATTTTACCCACGATGCATCGCGAGGCGGCTTCCAAACACTTTTTTTGCGGATAACTCGAATCACGCAACACATTCATCCTTTCATCCACGGGGTGTCGAGCGATTATTTTGGCATGGCGGATAACGGGAGTAATATCGCGGATTACACCACGGATAATCAGATGCGCGGTATTGACTCCCCCCATATCACCATGGGTGAGAGGGTTATGGTGGATAAGGAAACCGTTAGCTTCTTGGCCATACTTTGCTCCACCTTGTGGCACTGTCTTATGACAGTTTTATATCTCGTAGCCAAAACCGACGTCCTCTTGCTATACATATTGGGTAAGACTGGACACTAGAGAACTAAACTTAAATTATTAAAATATTTTTATTTTACCAGGTAAGACCCACTGGGCTATATAGCTATTTTTCTGAAACAACCTGGCCACAAACGATAACTCAACAAAGTGGAATATCACGAGGAAAATTACAGCAGACAAATCCTCCAAGCGCATGTTGATTCTAAATGTGGAGGGAAAAACCGAAGGACCTGGAGAAAAATATTCGCGACCCCGGAGAAAACATGCAAACTCCAAATATCGAGGCATACGGGTCGGGATCGAACCCACGACATCCTGTATATCGGGCAAGGTAATTAACATCTTGCCACTGTAACACTGCATGGGGAGGCCTTCATCCAGCACTGAATTATTCATGTTTTTTCAAAACTGTACGGTACTTGTGGTAGCTAAACATGCACCATGGCCAGGAATTCAACCCACATCCTAGGGTCTCACTAACAGCATATGGCCACACATACAAAGAAAAAGACCTCCCCCCCCTATTGCCTGTAACAGACTGTTGGGGCAAGTGCTGTTAGTGAGAAGCTCCTATGAAGGCCGGCATAGCACACAAGGGGGTGGGTGGCCAGTACCACGCCCGGCCGCCTTTGTCTCCCCAGTGGTGATGTTTACACACCGCACCAGGTACACATTTGAGGCTGAGTCGACCTAGGGGAGGCCCATGACTGGTTCAGATAATTATCACTAGTGTTGGCCGTGAGCGGGAATCGAACTGGGGTGGTCGGGTTCGTAGGGCAACGCGCTAGGCACGACACTACCGCTCCCCGCAGCACATGGCCCCACGTACACCCCCCCCCCCCCCGCATGCAGCGAGAGACACTGGGGTATTGTGAAATTCAGAACTGTATATTGTTACATCAACCTTGAAACTAATTAAAGTTGCGCAAAACGGAAAGTCAAGCCTGCGCACATGTGTCAGCAGGTTCAGATGACAGGGCACTTAGTAGGCTAAGTTTGCTGCACAGAGATAAGCTTTCCTCTTATTTCAACCAGATGAGAGCTCATCGACACTTGCGTCTTTTGGCAAGGGAGACCTTGGGATGGCAAGAATAAGAGTCGTTGCGGGTTCGCATGGCGAGGCGTCGTCATTGCGTGCGTACGCACGGAGAAACGCGTGAGCAAAAAATCGCGGCCAATGCACAACGTGATTTGGGTTTTTTTTTCGTCGGTTCAACAAACGCACAGCTGCTCGACACGAATCGCATTGCTCAGGATTGCGCTGTGACTGCTCCGTGGACAGGAGGACTTAAGGGGTATATCCCCGCTTCGCTTGACCGGGTATTTTCTCAAACCCACTCACACCGGTTACTCAATCTGCGGGTGTAATATTTCTGAATTTGACATAAATTTTTACCCCTCCTCTTACCATTTTTAAGGAGCGCGCGGGTTTGTGTTGTTGTTTTTGTTGTTTTGTTGTTGTACGTTCTTTGAGTATTCCAGGGGTAATTTGCTCAGAGGGCAGCTGTTCCTACTCAGATCAAACGATCCGTCTTCAACGCACTCGACACTGAGCCACCGATGCACTAATTTGCTCGCTGTTTTGTGTGTGTGTGCGTCTGTTGTTAAATTCGACCACAATAACTCCCGTAGGCATGATCCGACGCGAATGCAACTTGAGTGTAACGTCGTGTTGCTATTTAGGGGGCAGTTGCCTTTCAAAAAACCGGGCCAAATTGATCAAAGGGTTGCCCCAAAAAGATACTTGGTGAAGCTCCTCCAGCTCGAGACAAATAAAAGCCTCTTCGGCCAAGGCGATGACGTCATGCGCCGAGCACGTGCTCTCGCCTTCACCCCGCTGACACCTTTTATGTGTGACGTCACGCACTCAGGCGACGTCATCTCGACGTCCAGGCTCGAGACTACACGCGTCATTAGCGCTTCGGAAATAGTTTCCGAGGAAAATCTGACGTTGGTTAAGCGTTCAAGAATTCCATGCATATGCACGGTGGGGTTTTTTTATTCGTGGATTTTTGTTGTTGTTTCCCCGATGTCAACAATGTCTGGCAATCGATGTTCAATGGTGACCAAGAAGCTCTCTCTCTCTCTCCCTCTGTGTGTGTCTAGGAAATTGTCATTCGATTCGGTATCCCATGTTTCCCTGCATGACGATCGGTCTCATGCACCGCGCATCGTCGCTTGCTGGAGTGCAACATTTGTATCCGCACATTTTGGCAGCTTGGTGTTTGCGTGTCATGCGCTCATTTCACCGCTGCTTTTCAGTGAATGTTGATACCAGCAACACACTGAGATTGGTATTCATTATGATGCTTGTGTACCCAGGATAGCCTCACTGAGGCTGCACTCGTTCTCAAGTGGGCTCTTTGTCAATGTTTCACAGTAGGGAGTGGGGGGGAGGGCGAGGTGGCTACGTGTGGTCCCAATTTGAGTTCGAAAGAAAAATCTGCTCGATTGTAAAGCGTGCAGCAAAACCGTTTATTACATTCGCCTCGGCGCTTATGTTCGTGGCAGAAACTCCACGTTCCTGTGGCAAGGTCAGTATGTTGCAACCGACAATCATTGTTTGAGTTCTCGCAAACTTATGGATGCTCATTTATCAACCCGAGAAGATGATGGGTTTGAGTCAATTGGAATGAGCGTGCCCTAACCGCAGCGACACCCAAATAAGAGGGTTTCCAAGTTGTGTTCGTGCGTGTCAAAATCGAGATATTTTTTTTATAAAACAGGCGCTCGCTAACCACCCTTGTTGTCTATTACGTTGAGTTGGTAGAGAGCTGAGGCTTTTAACATGACCACGATGCACAACAGAGGCAATTGCTATCTAAGTCTGGTCCGGGTCACCTCTAGGTTGACTCAGCACTAAAACTAGTATCTAAAGTCAGCTATTTGTGTTTTTACCAGGTAAGGCCCGCTGAGTTACGTAGCTGTGTTTCAGAAGGGAAATGGCCACAAATGATAACTCAACAAAGTGGCTTGTCACGTGGAAATGTAGAGCAGCCACACACTCTAAACGCGTGCGGCCACGTGAAGAGAGAGCTCCAGAACATGCAAACTCCAAATCTACAGCAGGCGTCAGGGTCGGTATCGAACCCACGACCTCCTCCATGCCAGGCGAGCACCTGGTTCCAGTGTGGTCACCAGCACTCGTGAGCTAACAAAGGTCAAACAGCTGACACGTGCACGGTGACGGCCAGTCGCATTGCTACATCGCCTCGTGTCTCTGTGTGTGTGTGTGGCCGCAATAGGCGTTCGCTAACACCACTTGAACACACCACCAGCCCCCACCACCGGCTGAAGCGAAATGTTGTGCGCCGGTGAGTGGAGGTAAGGGCGAACGTGGGTTGCGAGGTGAACTCATAGCTACTCACCTTCAGGGCTCTCCCGCCGTCTCCCGGCTGAGGACACAAGAGAGAGAGAGAGACAGCGCAGAATGAGGGCTGTGCACAAGCAGCACGTGCACGCGTGTGCTATAGGAGACGTACACACAGATAAAGGTGCAGCCCCCCGTATAGCCTGCACCAGACTGTTGGCACAAGTGCTGATAGCCAGCAACGATCAAGGTCGGAACGGCGCAGCAATGGGGTAGCAACACGCCCGGTCGTCTTTGTCTCCCCGATTCGGATGTTTTACACACCGGACCAGGTAGTCGTTTAATGCTGAGCCGACCTAGAGACGGCCCAGGACCGGGTTTGATAATGTTCGTCACTGATGTTGGTCCGTGAGAAACAACTTGAGCTCGGGGTTTTGCGCAGCGCAGCGCTAACCACTGCGCCACCACTCCCCACGAGACTCTTACAGAGACTTGCACACACACGGCGCAAGTCGCATACAACAACATTGTCGGGATCATAAGACGGTCCGGAAAGTAAGACGCACCGCCCCACTACAACGGGGTGATGTCGATGAACTTATGTCAACGATGTTCAGACGCACTCGCAACGTTTTTTTTTTATTTGAAATAGAGAAGGGAAAGGTGCGTCTTAAAATCCGGAGAACACGATAGCATACACACACACAAGTTAGACAACACGTGCATATATACACACACACAAGTTAGACAACACGTGTATACACACACACAATCACAATGACTTTTAAACCCACACGAACACATTCAGATACACGCACAATCACGGACATAAAGAAACAGATTCCGCGTATAGCCTTCACAGACCGTTTGGGCAAGTGCTGTTAACGAGCACCCTGTGCTGATGTTTACACACCGGACCAGGCACTCATTTGAGGCCGAGTCGACCTAGGGGAGGCCCCGGGACCGGGTCAGGTCATGGTCAGTGGTGTTGGCCGTGAGCGGGAACTCGTCTCGCCGCGGGTTCGTAGCGCAACACGCTCACCGCCACACCACCGCGTGTGTTGTGTGCACACACACACAAAGACAAAGATCCCCCGTATAGCCTTCACAGACTGTGGGGGCAAGTCCTGTTAGCGAGCACCTATAAAGGCACACGAGGGGGTGGGTGGCCAACACCACACCCGACCGCCTTTGTCTCCCTAGTGGTCATGTTTACACATCGCACAAGGTACTCATTTGAGGCTGAGTCGACCTAGGGGAGGCCCAGGACCGGTTCATATAATCGTCACTGGAGTTGGCCATGAGCCGGAATCAAACCCGGGTCGCCAGGTTCGTAGCGCAGCGCGCTAACCGCTACACTACCGCTCCCCACACACACAACAAACATACACACACATATACACACATACACACACGTACACACACACATATACACACACACAGACACGAGCAACTGTGTCTCTACAATGCACACACAACACACACGCACCACACATCAATAAAAGAAAAGCACACGGTCGCATTGATGTATTATGCATGCGGGTGGTTGCAGGCTGCACGGTGTGTGTGTGTGTGTGCATGCGTGTGTGTGCGTGTGCGCGTGTGCGTGCGCGTGTGTGTGTGTGCGCTTGTGTGCGCGTGTGTGTGCGCGTGTGTGTGTGCGTGTGTGCGCGTGTGTGCGCGTGTGTGTGTGCTTGTGTGTGTGCGTGTGTGTGGTTAGCACGCTGCACGACCAGTGAAGATTATCTGAACCGGTCCTGGGCCACCCCTAGGTGGACCCAGCCTCAAATGAGCGCCCGGTGCGGTGAGTAATAAACATCGCCACCGGGAAGACAAAGGCGGACGGGCGTGGTGCTCTCCACCCACACCCTCGTGTGCCGTTCCGGCCTTCATAGGTGCTCGCTAACAGCACTTGCCCCAACAGTCTGTGAAGGCTGTACGGGGGATCTTTGTCTTGTGTGTGCGTGACGTCCGTGCAAGGCGCTCTCTCTCACCGTGTTTTGATTGCAGTTTGCCCATCGTCCCTCGCTATGTGGGCCACGGCATCCGTGCGCGAAGAGAGGGCGGCCAGGACTCTCGTTCCTTCGCTCGCTCTTCTTCTTGTTACGATGATGATGATGGTGGTGGTGGCGATGATGACTGTGATTCTGTAATTTCACAGTGGAGGAGTACAGCTCTCCTAGCTCGCTCGCTCTCTCTTTCGTTCACGATTTTTCTCTCGCTCTCTCTCTCTCCCTGGTCTTAGTTTATCTTCTTATTCGATTTGAAATTCAAGAAATCTTTGCAAACGGCACGCACACACACGCGCACGCCTTCCAGGAAGCACAATATCCAGACTGATGTGTCGGCTTCTTACTCCGTCTCTTTATCTACAGCCCGTGTGTATGTATATTCACGCGCGCGTGTGTGTGTGTGTTTCCCTCTGTCTTCTTGTCAATCCCCGCTGTGTGTGTCTTTGTGTGTCCCTGTACGTCCCCTCTGTGTCACCTTGCGCGAGTCTCACTGTGTCTCACTGCAGCGTGGGGCTCTCCTCCGCGTCTCTCTCTCTCTCTGTGGCTCCCCAAGCCAGCCACTTGCAGGCTAAACCATCAAGCTTTACCATTGGTCTGCCGTCGGGCGGTAGATCAAAGGGAGGCTTTTTTCCTTCTTTCAACCCCCACTGCACCCCAAGCCCGCACCCAACCCATCCTTCACTGCCTGCTGCTGCTGCTCTCTCTCTCTCGCTCGCTCCATCTCCCTCCCTCCCTCTCCCCACCACCGCCACCACTGCACCCCCCTTCAGAGACGTCCAGCCCTTCCCCCGCGCCTGTGAAAGTCCTTGCCTCCGCTTGGCCACCCCGCCTCCCCCTTACCCATCGAAGATCTAAGACTAAGATCCCCCGTGTAGCCTGTAACAGACTGTTGGGGCAAGTGCTGTTAGCGAGCACCTGATGAAGGCCGGAACGGCACACGAGCGAGTGGGTGGCCAGCACCACGCCCGGCCGCCTTTGTCTCCCCAGTGGCGATGTTTACACACCGCACCAGGTGCTCATTTGAGGCTGAATCGACCCAGGGGTAGGCCCAGGACCCGTTCAGATAATCGTCACTGATGTTGACCGTGAGCGGGAATCGAACTCGGGTCGCCGGGTGCGTAGTGCAGCGCGCTAACCGCTGATACTACCCATCACACACACAGACACGCGCGTCGGGATGCCTCGCTGGGCGTATGGGCTGTTGGAGCAAGCGTTGTGAAGCGAGCCCCTCTTCAAGTCGGTGCAGAGACATTCACAGGGCGCTATGGGCGGACGCCGCGCAGCAAAACGCGCCTGTTGTGTGTCTTTCATGACCACGTCTTTTTTTTCGACGCCGAGTTAACCTAGGGGGGTGGGGGGTGGACCGAGGGCAGGGGTAGGACACAATTGCTACCGGTGTTGTGCCAAATCGCCAGGAATTTAAGCCGGCTCTCTGGGTTTTCAGGACGGTGATAACTACTGGAACAAACACAAAGATCCCACCACCACAACCCCGTGTATCCGTATCGACTGTAAAAGGGGTGACAGTGCCGCTTGTCAGCGAACACCGATTTAAGGCTGCCACGGTACACAAGGGGGGTGTGGGGGGGGGCGTTATGTGGTCAGACCCATCGTGCCTGGCTTCCTTCTTTTCGCTCTATTGCTCACGTTCGTACAATGGCCCCAAGTATTCATTTACAGCTGCACGCACCTAGGGGAGGCCCCAGGACGGTGTCAGATACACCGCTCGCCACTGAAGTTGCACGCGGGCAGGATATCATGTCACAGGTCGCCAGCACCGTCGCTGCATCGCAGTGGCACAAACCACCATTGTGCTCGCTGCGTGCCACCGTGTGCCCCGTTCGGCGCTCGAACGGCGACATTGGCCACGATGTCTGAGAGGATGACCTCCAGAAAATCTGGCTCGGCAGGAGCCGAAGACATGCATGCACATGCTGGCAATTTTGAGAAGCATCAATTTGAATTTGCCTGTATTGGTGTCTGTTTTGCGTCGCCCATCTTCACGTGGGAATTGTTTTCCGCATTCGAGAGCAGCGGTGGCCGACTGTTGTCTCCCGAGCCGCGTGCGCCTCTAAAATCCACCACATGCGGCTCTATGGAAGAGGCATCACGTAGACGCACTGAAGCAAAGAATAATTAATGTCTCCCGTGCTGTGCCGATAACTGTCTATATGCAGTATATACACCTGGCTCTTTTGCAGAACTCTTCGGTTCTGTTTGGCTCTTGGTCTCTTCCAGGTTGGCCACTCCTGTCCTAGACTATGGTAACAGCTCTCCTTGAGATCAATATTTTACTTTGGGTGTTCACGGTGGACACAGAGAGGACCCCGGCGTGAATGTTTTCCGGGAATTAAAGTTCGTGGTGAACAAAAACAAAACAACAACAAAACAACAACAAAACAACAACAACAACCCGTCACCTCGTTGACACCGGGTAGGTCATAGTGTGGCAAAGTCATAGCTCAAATCTGATGGTTGAAATCTTTCAGTCACAATGATAAAAAAAGCATGAGAACCAAATCGCTTTGAAAGATGTGCCACTGCCGGTGAAACGATGGCACGAAAACAATGCCACCCAACCCCCCTCTCATATGCCGTGCCGGCCTTCATAGGTGTTCGTTAACAGCACTTGCCCTAACGGTCTGTTTAAGGCTATATGGGAGATATTTGTCTTTGTTAGCCATAGCATGTGGGTCTGCCTTGTTCTTTATACGATCATCGAGACAAGGAGGATGCGTTCACCTTCATTGGCAAGTGATGGAAATGCCACGTGCCATGGACGTAAATGTATAATCTCAGCAACAAAAACTCTCCGTACAAAACAGCCGCCATTGACATCTCTTCGCTTGCAAAATATTCACGATGAATGATCACACGGTGAATAAATAACCTCGAGCGAGGAATAGGCGCCAATTTTCAAGTTACCCAATTAATGATTATGAGCACTGCCGTATAGCAACAAGAAAACTCGATAGACGCTAAGCTATCGTTTTTGGGTCAATCGCCCTTCTTCAGGGGCAGAGAGAGGGTGGAGATGTCCGCCGCCTTCAACATGGGGAACTGACTGCGGCGCGGTGCTTTGAGAACAAGGTCGAGTGCTGCTAAATCTTCAGACAGTCGACCTTGACGGCTTTGAATTGACAGATAAATACATGGTGCGTCCCCTCGGCCGGCAGGCGACGAATCGCAAATGAACCCTTACGTAAATTAAACAAAACCCCCCAACCAATTTAAATGGATACCTTCCACGAACTCGCGTGAAAGAAATAGTATATGCATTCGATACAGGCACAAATGTATCGGATATTGTGACGTTTACTTTCAGCTCGTGCTTTTGTTAGATTCATACCATGAGTTGAGCATTATTCGAGAACTGTTGTCAGCAGAGCCTCACATTGTTTCAGAGAATGACCCGGGAAGATGACACCACAGAACTACTTCTGGAGTCCCGTTACTAGTCCTTCAAGCTCCATAAAGTATAGTTCACTGCCTTTCAATAATATACTTGATGACAAATAAGAATAGACGTTACCCTTTCTGGCAATAAAACAAGTGTTAAGATGTTCAAACACCAAAGGCGTCAAAGAGAAATATGAAACATATGTTTGCCTTTCATCGATGGGTGAGGCCAAATTGAGGGGCAAAAACTAAATTGTATATGTTGGTCTTTTGAGCAATCGTTGGTGCATGGGCTGAGACCATCAACTAGTTCCACTTTAGAATCAGAATCTGTATTCACACCGGAGCAATCCGATGAGCTATTGCGCTCTTTTTCACAGATGTCCAGTCGGGGCGGGTAAGAATCGAGGATCTTCCACCCACGTTCTCAGCAAGGCCATCTCCAAGCTCTGACATTGACATCGTCATCTCCGCACCACATTAACGTTTCACACTGGTAACGTATCAACCCAAAGGAATATTCCAGAAATTCAAGTTTTTTTTTGCCAAAGTTGTTTGTGTGGGTATGTGCTTTATTATTATTATCATTAAAGACCAAGCCTTTGAAGGGGCATACGTGAGTTTAATCAGAGAGGCAGCCTCCAAGGCAAGATAAACTGCACGAGGCTGAGCTACGGACGGAATCAGGCTTGCACACTCTTCCCCGGCCGTCACGCGTGACTAACTGGTGCTCTGTGTGTTTTTGACGCCCCATTGAGTGCTGGTGTGGCAATAGGCGGTGAGACCCCCATCCCATCCCCTGGCATTTCTAGAGGGGTCAAAAGTCGGCGAGAAGGGCTTTTATTATGAGGGCCATCGGCTCCCCCCCCCGCCCCCCATAAAGCAATCAGCCCATAAAGCAATCAGGCCATAAAGTCATCTTTACAATGCCGAACGAGGCTCATACTTTACGTTAAAACTGTCAACAGCTTAATCCTCGGTGTGGTGTCAGCACTTATGTATGAAGTTATTACGTTCTGTGTCAATGCGCATTGAGTAGTCCATTGTGACCACGGTTACACCTCTTTGTTCAAAGTAAGGGATCTCGTGTGGCTGAGATCCCTTGCCGTGTGCGTTTATTTACAATGCACACCAGTAGCCTGATGCAGTACAGTGGACTATCAGGCGATGATGGATAACCATGCATTGATTGATAAAAACGCATTTCTTTAGAACTTATTTTTTCGCGTTTCGTTTGTTGTCCTTCCGCCGCACCTCCGATCAGCACGGTTTGGCTACGTACGGTGCAAAAGAAGTTCAACATACATACACACAATGCAGTCTTTTGTCCACTAAATCTCATTAAACACGTGCACGTGTGTCTGTTACACATCGCACGTGGGTCTGTCTTGTGGCCTGCTGGCACGCCTTCACCTTGCCGAAGTGCACCCAGCCTGGCACGAGTGCCTTGCTAATGTCATCACCACTCATGGAAAAACGGCACACACACATAGGCAACTATGTTTGTGTGTTCTTTGTACAAAGTCCTAAATAGGCCCAATGTTGCGATGAACATCTGCGTTTTATCAGGCAAGAAATCCCATACATCTAAATATAAGTGTAGATATATACACGGGCAAGCGTGTATGTGTGCTTATGTGTGGTCTGCGCATGACCCTATAGCCTTTGCAACATACGTGTTCAATTCCCATTCGTGCACCTCAGTGGCAAGTCGTATCTGCACGTTCACTCTGCCTTATCAGCCCTGAAGTACGTGGAAGAGTATGGAAACATACGCACCGGGGGGAAGACAAAGACATCCAGACACGGTGCTGGCCATACCACCCACTCACGCACCATTACGGCCCTATTAGGTGCTCACGGACATTCAAAGTCCCCTGTCTCATAAGAGCATGCTGCTGTGGTGCAAGAGACCTGCGATCCAGAAGTCACTCGTTTGATCCACCGGATGTATAAATGAGTCAATGAGCGGGTCACGCGTGGTGCTGTAAAGTGCGCGGGTGACCTCCGACTGGCACGGGTGGCTACGCGCACGGTGCGAAAGTCGTTTTCAACGTGCACACGTGCAGGCGGGTGCGCCGAGACAGCCTCTGGGAAGGGCTGCCGAGAGCGTCTCTCGGGCAAACATTTGTGGGGATACATCTCGACCCGTCCTCATTCTGTGAAAGTAGCAGTCCGCGTAATGTGCCGTATCTTGTAAAACTTTACAATGATTAATGAATGGTGCGGCCTATGTGGTGGTGT